GATCAGAAAAGCTAATATTTTATTTCATTATTTTATCTAGTAATGAATCTGGAATTCTGTTGGTATTCTTTGTGAAAATAAGGGTCTCTGTCTGTGGATACCGTATGATACAATACTGTTTTTTTGTTCTGTCTCCAAGTGCACCCTCCTTTTTCTTCCTATTTTAAAAAAGGAAAAAAAAATAGCCATTGAGGAGGGGAGGGCATTATTTTTCATTAATCTCCTTACTTTCATGATCGAGTTGGGACTAGAAGATCAAGAGGTACATACAGTACTGGTTCCATGGCTGCTGTGGCATTTCACATCTGTGAAGAAGCAGAAAATGCCAGAATATGTCTTAGGGATACTTTCTTCTACAGGTATTTGAACCAAGGCCAAATTAGGGGCCACAACATTGTGTTTCTTTGGGGATGTGCTCCCTCCTCAGCTCAGGCAGAGGGCTTGTGGGGATGCATCTGGCTGATGGGCCTGACAGACAGGGCACGTGGCATTGGCCTTCTGGGGATAAGGACACAAAGGGGTGTTGACTTTCCTGACCTTTTGAGATTTTTAAGGCTCCTCTGTGGCTGGTGGAGAGAAAATGGATCTTTTTCTGGAGTGATTTATGGTGTTTAATGTAGACTCTTGCTTTGAACCTTCCCTGGGGGTTTCTCTTTGTGTCCAAGTGGACAAACTCCCTGCCATCCCCTGTAGCTGCACCTGTCGTTGCTGGGCCTCTTAGGTGTGACCTTCCTTTCCCACAGTGTACAAGGCCTCAGGATCCCCATGTCCACCTTGGATCTGATGTCCCCTCCCTGTTCAGCCAGCTTCCGCTGTATGTCATACTGACACCTTCTAGCCCTTTCACTTTTTTTGGCATTGGTACAGGGATTCTGTGCATTATGAGTCCCTAACAATTATACTTTTGTCTCCCTGCCTTTTATGGTGACTTTCAAGTGTCCCTTTGATCAGACCTAAGATTTGCCTGTCAAGAATGATGGGGTCAGTAGCCATAAATAGAGACAAAAATTCAACCCACTCTCCTAGCACAGCAAATGATTCACTGAATTATATCTTGTAAATTAAACCAGAAGTGTCCTACAGTATCAAATCTGCTAGGTTTATTTATAGCTAAAAGACCTAAAAGAATCTAAACCTATGTTATGTTTCTGATTATTTTTCTAAATCCACAATAATCTTCAAGAACATTAAGGTATTTGCATTCCTTAGACTGTACAATTATTAATCCCCTTATCTGGCTTGAAGTTCTCTGTGGGTGAACATACTCTTAGGATGATCTGGATTTTAGATTTCTTCAGCCAACGCAAAGGAAAACCATAAAAGAGAAAGGAATAAACAAATTCAAACTCAGCATGCTGCTTGTTGAAAATTCTTATTCTAATAAATTCATTTGACCTCTCAGCCTCCGTGAAATTAAAAAGTCACAGCCCTGTTTGATTAAGAAACTGACTTAAAATATGGGTAGGGGGTGTGTATGTGCATCGAAGGCCCTGCCATATTAAGTGCTATGAGAGGTAGGAGATGTGAGAAGGAATCAAGCTAAGGGAACTTGGTCAGGGAACCAAGTATGAAAGGGGTCCCCTCATGGCTTGAGTGTGTAGGACTTGATTTTTGTTATGTTAGTTCTGTGATGTCTTGTGTCACAAAATTGATTAGTGGGTCACTTCATGCTTAATGTCTTGGGCATGGATATATACACAGAAATACCTAAACAATATTTGTATGAATACAGTACAGTAAACCTATTTGAAAATTGGCCTAGACATAGAATTTGATTGGAACAAACAAGGTTTGTGCCAGAAAGAATTATCTGAGAGTGGAGCAGCCCAAGTAAACCCTAAAGCCTCATCTGCAGAGCTGACAATGACTGTCTCTGCTTAGAGGAACTGTGCTGCCTTCTGGCTTTACCTTCCAAAATGAAACTGAAGAGTAGCTTTGTCTATAGAGCCATAAAGTAGCACACTGTCTGAGGAAACTGAAGTTCTTCCCAGAAAGGGTGTGGAGGTGTATTTAAATAGGTTACAGGTGATTTTTTTTTTTAGTCCTTGCTATGTCTGGTGTACTGGTGTCTAATTAGTAAGTGTGAGCAGTGTTGATAGGCTCCTAAAAATACATTATGAAGCCACATGTTCAATAATGATAGCTTTGTGTGTGTGTGTCTATGCATTTAGACCAGAGGATTCATCTGAAGCAGGTATGGTGTGATCATGGCATCCCTTTTACTGACCACTGCAATCTTGAATTTAAAGTCTTTAGCTGAGGAGAAGTTATTTCTGTCTATCTCTCCAGAGGAACAGCAGCTCACTGCAGACTGTCATTGCAGACCTGGGCTTCCATAGCCCATTTAGCTATAGTGGTGTGCAGCGCCTCTGGAGCCACCCCCAGGGATGTGCTGAACCTCAGACACAATTCTGCAATGAGCAGCAGGTTTTTTTCTACCAGTGACAGATGCTTTCCTGCTCAGTGTGGGAAGCAGTGGCTGCTAATGTTTGTGCCCTGTGTGCTACAACCATACTTGGTCTAGTTCAAGTATGTGAGCTCCAATCCTGACAGGTATTGGACTGTGACCAGTGTGCATGGATATTACTGCTTCTTTTTCAGTATTGTTCTTTTTCTCTTACTTCCTCTCTCTGTCTCTCTCTCTCTCTCTCTCAGGCCTCTCACACCTGATGATGGGTGAACAAGGTAAGTCCTTCCACTTTTTCTTTGTTTCTATCACTGATCATGAAGAAGCTTTGTTCCTGCTGCATTTCTGGGCTGGGCTTTGCATAACAAAAGCAACTAAACTTATACAGTGCCAGTCAAGCCATTTGCATTTTTGCCTCTGTGTCCCATGAGCCAAGGCTTCTTGTCAATCTGGGGACTCAGTGGCCCAGGAGGGAGCATGAAATGGTTCCATGGAAGGTAAAAATGTATGCATCCCTCTTCCATGCAGCCCACCAACTACTTTATCTTGCCATTTCTTTCTTCTTGTGCCAGCTGTAATGACTCCCACTTCTGCTTACTAAATGTAGACCTCAATGTTGGTCTTTATTTTAAGAGTACAATTATTACAAAAAGTATATTAATAACCCTTGTGGCATGATCCTAACTCATTATAAATCCTGAGGAAATTTGCATATAATGGCCTGCAAGTCCTGTGTCTGCAATTTAGATTACTCAAATACATACAGAACAAAATGGTTGAGAAGAACAACAGGGCTAACCCCATATTGAGCTACAAATGGGATCTAGGCCCAGATCAGAGATGACATTTTAATATTTCAGCCTGCACAGAGGTACAGATCTATAGTCTGTGACAGGATGGAATAATTAGTCCCATTTTACACTGGGAGGATGTGGAGTAAGAAGCTGGTGAGAACAGGTAAAGCAGGGAGAATTGTGATTCTGTTTGTCTCTGACAGTGCCAGTGTCTTACTGACACAGGTGCACAGGAGTGAGCAGCACTCCTGATGCCTTCTGCTCTTGTGAATGCAGAAGTGAAACAACTTAAGACTTAATGCAAGGTGTGTGCAAGTGGTAGTGGTACACTAGGAAAACCAGACCAAGTGTTTGGCCTAGGGGAAGAAAATGTAAGTTTTGACTCTAAAGCCTGATGAGGCTTTCTTAGACTAGATGTAGGCAAAAGCTTTTTTGCCATTAAGTAAGCATGTGTCTGAGGATAGACAGTCCAAGGAATAAGATAGTGCATAGTGCCACTGTAGGCTAAAGATTCATTATGTATCTCAATGAAATGTAGAAAGACTTGAGACATAATCAGTTTTTATTTTATTTTTCAAGGCAGATATCTGCTCTGAGGTCATGAAAGGTTAGGTAACAACCAGAAGTGAAGTAGGGGCTTACTAAACAGTTTCTGTACTGCATAACATCCTTGTATGGTAGGAATAGTAGGAAAATCGGGCTCTTTTTAGATGTGTGTCAAGACCATGGTGTTTGGCATGTGGAGCATTTGACTAAACTCTGGAAAGCATTGAGCTCCTTCTGTGTCCCCACTTACTGTTCAGCTGGGCTCATGGCTCAGAGGTTGTGCTTATTGAAGGATCATCCAGCAGCCAGGTCCCTTCAGCATGTCCTAGCTGAGTTTCAGGATTCAGTTGAGTATGGCAAGCTGTTTTGGCAGAGGAAGGCATGTTGGAAAGTGATCAGAACAGCTGATGGCCACTTTCATTCTGAAAACCACTGAACATTTCTTTATAGTAGTCTGTGATTTAGCACTGGATTATGTAAACAGTTGCACTTGGACATTTAAATTACAAGTTGCAACCCAGCTGGCTCATGAAGACTTACATGACCTATTCAGACCAGTCATCAGCACTTTCTATACTCCCTCATCTGGCAAAAATGTAAAAACTACTGGCTTCTGGCAACTTCAGCCACCCTTGTTTATCTATAACACATCAGGGAACAGTGGCTTCTCTTTTCTTGCCAGCAAACTCACAGATATTGCCTTTTGATAAATATTTACTGTCTATAAAAATATTATGGATATAAAAATATGTAAATGTATATGTGTAAGTAAATATGCAATGTCAACATTATATACAAATACATTAGCTCTGCTAGGTGAGATGTGTTTAGCAAATATATTACCCTGAGATTTATTTTTTTCCTGTCCTAGTCTGTTGTTGCCTTTGCTGTTTTGAATTTGACGTGGATTGAGGCATATCACTGGCGTGGTATTGCATGAGCAGTTTGCATTTCTCAGTAGAAAATCAAATTAAAGCTTAACCAGGCAGCTGCTGATTGTACTGTCAGTGGTTTAAGCTTTGCTTTGTGCTTTAGCTGTGGTGTGTCTCTTGTTTTTCCCTTGACATTGTGTTTTGTTGGGTTTGGCTGCTAGATAAATTTGCTTGTTTCCTTGTTTTTCTAAGTATGGCCGGTGATGTATTTTTCTGGGTTTTTTATGTTTCCTCCTTCTCTTCTCTTTTGCCTCCTCCATGGTGGACACCTCTCTTGTTCCTCCTCTTAACTGGATGTACACCTTCCTGTCTGTAGGTAGAAGTAAAGGTAGAGATCACATTCTTTCTAAGACTTCTTTGCTTGTAAAATGTTTCTTGATGGGCAAAGTGTATTTTTATGAATGCGTTTCATATTGGAACTTAATTTTTATTTTTAAAAGTCTCTTAACAATCTTTTGTATTGAATTATGGAGGAAATATTTATTAAGATTAATGCTTTGAGGCCTTGCTAAGAGATGTTATTTTCTCCCTATTCACACTAAATGTGGGCTGTGCAGTGTCGGGCCATGTGTAGTTGGTGATGCTGGGGTGCAAAAGGTTCAGCCAAGGATAGAGCCACAGGCCAGTGGGCTCATCCTGCTGACACTTGCTCTAGAGGGATGCCACTTCTGGTAGTTTTTCTATTGGTGTTAGTTGCAGCAGAACCTGGGCATGTCCAGTACCACTCAGCAATGGAGGTTTTGTGAGCTGTTGCTTCCCCTGGCTCTGCTTCCCATCATTCCTGTTAGTGCAAAGGTGTTTTTCAAAGAGAAATTGAGTTGCAGAAAAGCTGCAGAGGAAGCAGAAATAATCAGCCCTGCTAAGCAGAGAGGTGCATTTCCTTTGCAGCCCAGTAAAGCACAGGGCGTGCTAGTCTGCTCTGGGGCTCCAACTTGCTCTTCAGAGCTCACACCTCTGCTTAGGCATGCTGAGGGCAGTCATCCATCCCTTATCAAAACTGCCAAAAAGGCAAAATGCTGCACACTTGTTATGGGCCTTTAGTTGGACTGGAAGGAAAAGTAAAGATTGATTGATAAGTTATAAACATGGCTTGAGAAAAATCTTGGTTTTGATCCTGTTTTCCAATGAGAAAGATTAAAAGGTTTTGTTATGCTGAGGCTTACTCTGTTCCACTAAATACACTGCTGAAAAATCTGATATATTTATTACCATGATTTGAACATGTTGGATGATGTTGCTTGTGTCCATGCTAGTAAGACACTAGGGAATGAAATGACTAGTTGTGCTGCTATGAATTTGGGAGGGATATGAGCTCAGAGGATTTGTTCATAATAACTTTCCTTGGAGGCACAAGCAGTCTCTGCTCAATAGTTACTACTTTTGTAATATCTGAATTCTAGGGAGCACAAAGGCATATTAAACACCTTAATTTGTATGATTCCTTTTTCTGATGCCCAGCATTCTTCTAACAATATTGTATTGTTGAATTCCCTGTGATGGACTACATTATGTAACCAATATTATTTGTTCTATTTTGAGGTTGGAAAAAATATTCCAATAATTAATTTCATAGTTTTTCTATTCTCTCCAAACTTGGGTGATGGAAGGTAATACCTAAGCTGTACTCAAAGCTATCTTCTCAGTAAAAGGTGAACATCAGAACATATTAATCACATATGTAGACTGTAAAAAAAATATGAGAACCTGAATCTCTAAGCAGACCATATAAAATGTCAGTGCCTCAACACAGCTGCCAATAATTCAGTTAGCTGATATATGGCTTAGTGTGGTTTAAGGGTCAGTGTAGATCAGGGCGAGTCTTGTGTGATGTTAGTTCATGTTCTTTTCTTGGGTGGTATTTATGCTTCAGGCCAGCCTGTGTAGGACTAAGCTGAAAGTCTTCTCCAAGGCAAATCTTCTAACTGAGCTGGTAGGCACGAAGATTATAACTTATAGTAACTTATAGTCCACAGTTAATTAATATGTACTGAAACTTAATTTATTGTGTCATTGAGTGACAATATCATTTCACTTTCCAGCTATGTGTAGTTTTTAACTCTAGTTATAGCAAGTGACTTTGTCAGAGAACCATCAGTCTGTGTGAAAAATGGCATTCCTTTCAGAGGGCTCAAACTGTAATTTTGAACCCACACATGGCCTTCAGCTCACAGAGAAAGTGGCACCAGATGCCTTTAGTGCTTTCAGAGAAGGTTCATATTTTTTTGGCATTCTTGTAGTTTTTAGTAAAAACTGGCAACAACTCTGTCTCATGTCATGTGTATAGCCAAAAGATATGATGAATTTGATTTAATTTTGGATATGATGTATTTGATTTCATAAAACTTCTTTACAGTATATAGCGGTCTGTGACCTTGCATTCATCATTTAAAGCAAGTGCTTGATTAGTTGTTTCCACTGTACTAAATAGGCTTTCTCTGCATCTATCCTTTTTAAAAAGTTCAGAAAATTTAATTTTTTTTTTTTAATAAGTTCCTGGAAAATTGAAGAAGATGAAGTGTAGGTGTTCTGGGGTAGTGGCTGGAGTGGTTGAGATACAGACAAGCACCTGGATATTACCTGCATTTTAACCTGAGCTGAGGTTTCAGGTTAAATGCATTGAGTTCTTATTTGAGGTATGGAACTGGTCATGGAGGTGAGGTAAATATGTGATGAGCAAGGACTTTTGTTTAGTTTGGCACGAATTGCTGAATATGACTGCTCTTCTGGAAAGGCACTGGCAATTAAGGAACAATTATATTAAGTTTACTTCCCTAATGCTTCCCCACAAGTAAATGATATCAAAGGAAATGACAAATATCCAACTTAAATTTGCTACTGGAGTTAATGTATTATCACCTTCTTACATATAATTTGTTCTCTTGAAAGTCTTTGTTAAGGAAATGGTTATTTGCCATTTTGTTATCTTCCACCATGTAGGTTTTATTTTACCATCACTCTTGGTTTGGATCTGACTTCTACTGAGGCTCATATCACCTTTGAAAATTGTCTGTATTCTTGGTGGGAATCTGCTATTTTTAGTGAATTAAGTCCTTGGTCTTCTTGAAGGCAATAGTGGAATTCACATTGACTCCAGTGGGCCAACAACCCAAAGAACTGAAGATGCCCTCTCTGGCACAGGGAGTGACCAGGGAGGTGGTTTCTGGGTGTGCATGGGATACCCTGTAGCACCCGTGCTGTCTGCAGACTGCTGGCTCTTCTCCAAGGCATGTGGCTCCTTCCTTCCTTCCTTCCTTCCTTCCTTCCTTCCTTCCTTCCTTCCTTCCGCCACTTCCTTCCGCCACTTCCTTCCGCCACTTCCTTCCTTCCTTCCGCCACTTCCTTCCTTCCTTCCGCCACTTCCTTCCGCCACTTCCTTCCGCCACTTCCTTCCTTCCTTCCTTCCGCCACTTCCTTCCTTCCTTCCTTCCTTCCTTCCTTCCTTCCTTCCTTCCTTCCTTCCTTCCTTCCTTCCTTCCTTCCTTCCTTGTTGTGCTCAGTGTGAACTACACCTGCCTTCTCAGTTCCAGTATGAGGTAGGTTTTTTCTTAATTGTCAGAGAGAAGTGAAACAGAGGGATCTTTTAAAATGCATGTTGTGTGGACCAAAGGCTACTGCCAATTCTGCCATTTAATAATCAGCATTGCAAAATCAGATTATCTGCTATGGTCCTACCTGCTCTTAACTGAAGTAGGTCTTTCAAGTCTTGGAAGGTTTAGCATTGCTCTCAAAGAATGAGGTTCTTATTTCATTGAGATGTTCAATAATATTGACCTGAAGGTAATGGCACAGGAAAAATGAAATAGCATTTGTGGGCTCGAATAGAAGGAAACGACTGGACCTTACTGATCAGGAAAATATTTTCAAGTTCTTTTTCACCAGTAATACCATTAAGATTTGTATTGGCTTGCTTTGGAAATAGTGTAGCCAGCAGGACCAGGGCAGTGGTCATCCCCGTACTTGGTGAGGCTGCCCCTTGGGTGCTGTGTCCAGTTCTGGGCTCCTCATTACAAGGAAGACATTGAGGTGTTGAGGTGCAGAGAAGGGCAGCAGAGCTGGAGAAGGCTTTGGGGCACAAATCTGATGAGGAGCAGCTGAGGGAGCTTGGGGGTGTTTAATCTGGGGAAAAAAGGCTCAGGGGAGACTCCTTGCCCCCTACAACTACGAAAAGCCAGCCTAGCAAGGTTGAGGTCAGCCTCTTCGTCCCAGTAAGAAGAGATGGAATGAAGGGAAATGACCTGAGGTTGCACCAGGGATAGATTTAGATGGGATATTAGTAAAAATTTCTTTATGGAAAGAGTTGTCAAACATGGGAGTGGGCTGCCCAGGACAGTGGTTGACTTGCCAGTCCTGGAGCTGTTTAAAAGATGTGTAGATGGGGTATTCATGGACAGTTTAGTGATGGACTTGGCAGTGCTGGGGGTTGGATTTCATGACCTTAAATGTCTTTTCCAGTCTAAATTGTTCTATGGTTGTATGTGAATAAGTCCAGCTGAATGGCCAAGAGTTTATGCAAATGTTGAAGTGAAACATCAGTCACAAATTAACTCGTTTGTGCTCTCTAAATGTCTAATTATACAAGGGGAAAAACAACACTACATTTGTCTTGCCAGCCTTGGCAGTGGTTTTTAGGCTCTGCTTTGCCCTATAAAGTATCTTGATATTTGGATTTTAAATGTGAATATTGCATGGTTTTGGTTTCTACGATTAAAAGTATTAATGAAAGGACTCTAAAATATGTGTGGTAGTGGGTTTGTTTTCCTTTGGTGAGAAAAAAAAATTACATTTTTATAAGGATGGTGACTTTCAATTCTAACTTTACTCATAATGACTACTTAAAAAAATCAAGCACTTTATTTTATGATTAGCAAATAACAAATATGCAAAACCTCTTCAATAGAATCAAAGCCCCTTGAATGAAGATGTTATTCTTCTGGAATAAGTTTTTTTTGTAAGTGAATTTTTGCTGCTGCTTTCATATTTTGTTTAGGGAAGAAAGAAATATTTTAATGTAATTTGTTGAAGTCTCTAATTAGAGGTGATTGATAGCTGATGTTTTCAAATGGAAAGTATTTGGTGGCATTTCTGCAAAGCATTCATCCTATTTCTTTGAATTCCAGTGGTGATAACATTTTCTAAATTTTGGGGAATGAAGTCACTTAAATGTTCAATACCAGCTAATGCAAAGGAATAGATGTCTTATTCTTCTTTTTATACCTCTTTGTGTAATACATTTATGAACACAAACATAATAGGACAGTTCTGGTAAATTATTTTTTGTGCTTATGAGCATGTAAGTTTACAAATATTGTGTATGCATAAGATATTAAA